TTAATCAATTGCTTTTTAGTTTTCCATCTTTCCTCTTGTCTTTTTAGATATATTTCTTGTATGTTTTACTAGTTATCCTAATGATTAGATTATGCATCCTTAACTTACTGCTGTCTATCCTGAATTAGTATTTTACCTTTCCACAAACAATGTAAGAGCCTTATAACAGTATAATTTTAATTTTATTTATCTCTGCTGAAATTTGTGTTACTACTGTTATATAGCTTACTGCAACATATTATGAACCTTACAATACATTGATGGTATTGTTGTTTTAAACAGTAGTTTGTTTTTTTAAAAAGGGTTAGAAGTGAAAATTTTAAGAATGCCATGTACATCACATCAAAATATCAAATGCCTGGGAATAAACTTACCAAAGATGTACAAGTCCTCTAGGAAGAAAGTATGTTGGTGGAAGGGATATTGGAAGAAATTAAAGAGATCTAAATTAATGGAGTGGGGTAACATGTTTATGAGTTATAAGAGTCATTGTTGTAAAGATGTCAATTCATTGCGATTTAATCTTCAGATTTAATGCAATGCCAATCAAAATCCCAACAGGTAGGCGCATGCACATATGTGTGTGTGTAAAGCTAATTTTATAATCTTCATCAAGACAGTTGGAAGAGAAGGACAAGGTGGAGGACTTGCTGTATTAAGCTACAACTGTGTGGTATTAATGTAAGAATAGTCGAATAGATGAATGGGGCACTAGAGAGAACCCAGAAACTGATTCGTGCACATAAGAACATTTAATTTATGATAAAGCTGTCACTGCAAAGTAGTGGGAAAAAATAGTTTTTTCAATAAATGGTTCTGGGTGGAAAAAAAAACCCCTTGATCCTTATATAATACCCTACATAAAAATTAATTCTTGTTTGATTATAGACATAAACGCACTGGAAATCTGTGACAGCCTCCACCCAGATTTCAGAGGATGTATGGAAAAACCTGGGGACCCAGGCAGAGACCTGTGCAGGGGCGGAGCCGCCAGAGAGGCCATTTACTAGAGCAATGCGGAGCAGAAAAGTAGGATGGGGACAGAGAGCCCCCACCAGGGTAATGTCTAATAAGGCCAAGGCAGCGGGGCTGCTGCCAGGGCCACGGGCAACAAGCAACACTGGCCTGGAAAAGCTGCAGGCACAAGTGCAGCCCAGCAGGCTGACCCGGCAGAGCTGTGGGGGCAGGGCCACCCCAGGCTTTGGGGGCCAGATACCCCATTGTGCCCGGGATGTAGGACTTGGAGTCAAAGAAGATTGTTTTAGAACTTTAAGATTTAATGTCTGTTCTGCTGGGTTTTGGACTTGTTTGGGGCCTGTTTCTCCTTTCTTCTGGTCTGTTCCTCCCTTTTGGAATGGAAATGTGTACCCAATGTCTGTTCCACCATTGTATCTTGACCGTAGATAAATTTGCTTTTGATTTTTACAGGTTGACAGCTGGAAGGAGTTTGGCCTTTGGTCTCAAGTGAGACTTTTAAGTTGGTCCTGGAACAAGCTAAGACTTTTGGGACTGTTGGGATGGAATGATTATATTTTGTATGTGAAAGTGACATGAGTTTTGGGAAGCCAGGGGCAGAATGATAGAGTTTGGATGTGTTGTCCCCGAAAAAACTCATGCAGAAATCTGATCCCCAATGTGGCAGTGTTGGGAGCTGTTTGAGTCATGGAGGCAGATCCCTCATGAATGGATTAATGCTCTCCCTGGGGGTGGGGGTAGCGAGGGTAGTGAGTGAGTTGGGGGTGGGGGTAGTGAGTGAGTTTTTGCTTTATTAGTTCCTGCCAGAGTTGGTTGTTTAAAAGACCTGGCACCTCCCCTCTTTCTCTCTCTTGCTTCCTCTCTCACCATGTGATTTGCTTGTGCCTACTGTTTTCTGTCATGAGTAGAAGCAGCCTGAAGCCCGAACAAGATGCAGCTGTCCCAGAATTGTGAGCCAAATAAACCTCTTTTCTTTATAAATTACCCAGTCTCAGGTATTCTTAGAAGAAAATGCAGGAGGAAATCTTCATGACCTTAGGTGAGGCAAAGATTTCTCAGTATAAAACTAAAAGCACAATCCATAAAAGACCAAATTGATAAATTGGACTTGGTCAAAAGTCCATAAAGGTAGTTGAGAGGAGGAAGGAACATAACACATATACAGTGTCCAGCACGTGCCTGGAATGTAGTTAGAGATCAATAAGTATTAGTTGTCATTAACAGTAAAAAAAAATTTATTGTTTCTTTTTTTTGAATGGTCACGGTGCAGTCCGCACCACGCTCAGCCAGTGAGCGCACCGGCCATCCCTATATAGGATCCGAACCCACGGCCTTGGTGCTCCCAGCGCCGCACTCTCCCGAGTGAGCCACAGGGCCGGCCCCAAAAATTTATTGTTTATTTTTTTATAAATTTATTTTTAATTGGCAAATAATAATTGTGTACATTTATGGTGTAATAATAAAAAATTTTAAATAACTTCATAAATGTTCATCGAGATGAGAAAGGACTCTATTGTTATGGGACACCCATACTATGAATTACTATATACATATAAATGAATTTTATGTATGAATTCATATATATGAATATGTATGAATTTACTATAAACATATATATGTACACAAACACTTTTTTTTTAATGAGGTAAATTTATACTGACATGGAATGTTGCTTTGCCCCCCACAGATTTGTCACCCCTCTTCCCCTGGGTGACAGTGCTGCAAAGGATTACTCAAAGCCCATCTCTTCTGAGCAGTGAGAAGCCCCAAAGTGGTTAATCTCCCAGAACCCTCAAGAGCAAAGCATTCCTTCCATTTGGGAAATTAACCATGAATTGGGGTTCTCTTCCTGCATTTATTTTCCAGAACTGGAAGTTACAGGAAGAGACATAAGTGGGCTTAAAGTTTTAACAAGTTTAACAATAGAAGCTGGTAACATTCAGTAAAAACAAGTCAGATGACATTCCATTAGGCAATTGAGTGATCCACCAACAAAAGCTTGAGCTTAGCAAACATTCTCTTCTTACAGCAATTTCCCAGTGTCTTTACATATCAATCAGTAATCTGTCTGTCTTTGCTGTGTTAAAACTCTTTATCTTACAACAGAGACTCAATAGCCTGGGGAAAGTTTCCTATTTTTTGTAAGGTCAATATTTGAAACTGCAAGGCTTTGGAAAACCAAGCCCTGTGAAGTACATATGCTTTATGCATATTCTACAATGGAAAGATTAAAAAAGATTTTAATCAGCAAAGCCCTTATTTGGTTTGTACAGTTTTTATGGCAGAGGGTAGAAAGAATCAAAGTGAGCACATTTAAAGCTTCAACTCATACACCAGAGTATATCACACTCACTTGTATTCCACTGACCAAAGCAAATCACATGGGCCCTGCCTATTGGGAGGCACTGAAAGTCACATGGCTAGGGTGTGGATGTACAATCAACTTATAGAGGAGAAAGTGGACAGTTGGGAACAGTAATACAATCTATCAAGGGTGGCTATCAATGACCCCACCTTTGAGTAGATATACCATGGTGTATGTGTGTGTGTGCACATATGTGTGTGTTTACATTCAGGACTCATGTATATGGGCCACACATATAGAAAAATATTATGCCTGTGGACGCCACCAAGCAAATGAGATTACCATGAAACCTTGATAATGAGGGATAACTCCCAGTTTTTTGAGTCTCCAATGGTGAAATGAAGATACTTGGGTGATCCCTAGGCCCATTCCCAACTAGAGATTTTTGGTCCTTCACAATACCCTGGACATTCAAATTTGTGTTTAGTTTCTTATTAAAAAAATCATTTCACTTAATTTTTACAACAGCACTATAAGATAGCTACTATTATCCTCATTATAAATTCCTAGGTGTCAAGGGCCTTTTAGAAGCACTATCTGATTGTTAAATCCCTCTGAAGATTATTTGTACATGCCATTTTTAGCAGTTCTGGGGGGTGGAGGTGGGGGAGCTATCTTGCATCAGTTTTAACTGTGCCTCAGGGATACAGATATGTGTGTAACAGGTATGCTCATTTTTCAAATCTAAGACCTAGGCTTTGTAAGGTTAGGGCAGAAGATGGCCTTGGCTTCTTATCAATCAGAGAGGAGGAAGGTCACAGGGAGTACTTAGGCTTGTAGTCTCTGGTAGTGATATCACATTGTCTAAAGATATTTCTGTGTAGGCAGAATCATGCGAAACATTTTGGCTTCATTTGGTCTTGTTATTGAGAAAACCTGCTCCTTAAATGGAAATATGTCACAAAAGTCAAATTTTCAGAGTTGGTAAAATCAAAAGCTTACATGTGAATTTCATAAATGTTATGCTGGCTGGAAACAAAGAGTAAAATCACATGTGACTAATTTGATGGTAAGACACGACAGTCAAAAGGCATTTAATTAAAAAGCAAAATATCTTTCTGCATCTATTGAGATGAGGGGAAAAAAACCAAATACTGTCCTGTCAAAGAAAAGACCAGGGGGCAAAGTTTGTTGCACAGCTATGTATAATCTCTAGACTATGTCCTCAAAGATTTACTTGATAATATTCCCATGTTGTTACCTTACCTTTGGCATTAAAGGGGAGTGGCAATCTCTGAAGTGATTAGGCAACAGTCCTATAAAACAGACTTATTTTGTTGCTGTACCTAAATGTGCACTCTCTTTGGTATATTTTCCCTGGTTCTTCAGGTTCTAAATTTATTATGTTTTATTTGATGCCAAAGATGTATAATTACATCAAACGTCAACATGCAGTTTTTCCTTTCTTGGTAGAAAGAAAACCCAAGTCTCTTTCATCCTGGTTCAGTGATTTTGTCACTCTAGAGTACTGACCTAATCCTAACCTAAGTCCAAAGGTCCAAGATCATATGCTCAAGAAGAGGCCTGAAGTAATTTTCACCTGCAGACACAGATTTTATCCAAGCCCCACATCTCACTCACTAGATACTGCCAGCTGGTGTTCTGAAGTTACCAACAGAGCGAGAACATAATGGACAGTGAACACAACTTGTTCACCAACCTGTGCTTGATCATGCTTGTTCTGGGAGGGTTTGCAGATGTTCAATCATGCTTGTGTTGTTAGGGTTTGCAGATGCTAAGGCTTCCCAATGGTGTGATTTGGTTACCATTAATCTTATCAGGTTGCTGTTGCCAGAAGATGTATCCTTTCTGTGGAGGAATAAAACAGAGAATCAGTGTGAGCCTCATGTTTGCATAAACAGAGCAATGAATGAAAAAAGAGTTGAGCTAGACTTTATTTTGGCAGTTAATGTTGACTCACTGGAAAACATTGGACAAGTTTCCTAAACTTTCTGTGCCTTTGTTTGCCAATCTGTAAAATGTCCTCTCTGCATCTCAAGGTTATACTAATCATAGGTCCTAGATTTTAGAACTGTTCCATAGACACCTCATTCAAATATTCAACGATACTTATTGAGAGCATACTATGTGCCAGGTACTGTGGTAGGTATAAATCCAACACAGCCTAAAGGGGAGTTCATCATCTTTCCTTCCTCAAACCAGCTTTGATCTCCTATATTCTCAGTCTCAGTGGTGGCATCACCATCCACCCAGTTATCCAGGGAGGAAATCCCTGGGAGTCAACCTTGACTTTTCTCTCTCCCTCAGCCCTATATCCAATAAATGGCCACGTCTCCTCAAGTGTACCCCCTCCCCACTAATTTTTAGAATCTATTACTCCCTTGGTAATCCTGCCTCAGTGTCTTTGCACTCATGGTCTCTGTGCTTTGAACACTTCCTGTGATTTCACAATGCTGGCTTCTTTTCATACCGACTAGCTCAAATGTCATCTGTTTAGTGACACCCTCTTCAACACATTCTATCCAGAACTGCTCCCCAGTCCCACTCTCAATCTCATTACCCTGTTCTACTGTCTTACCAATACTGCCGAATAACTTATTTGTATCCCCTCACCCCTTTTTTTTTGTATTTCTCTATCACTAGAATCTAAGCTCCATAAGTGCAAGGGACCTTATCTGTCCTGTTCACCTCTATTCTAGACACTGGGGATATGGTCAGTAAAATCACTCTTTATTGTACTCATATGGCAAAAATCCAACCCTGATGTTATGAAATGAATTGTGTCCCCCAAGGGTTCATGTATTAATCTCCACAGTAACAGTGTTGAGGGTGGGAAATACTATTTTGGTAATTGAAAGGTGGAGCCTTTAAGAGGTGATTAGATTGTGAGAACCATGCCCTTGTGAACACTGATCCATTTGTGGAGTAATAAGCTGGTTTAATGGGTGGTAATAGAAGTGTTTCTGATGGCTTTATAAGGACAGCCAGTAAGCAAGTAAGCAGGTTGGCTCTCTCTTGCTCAAGCCATTTGCCATGTGACACCCTGCATTGCTGTGAAGAGTCACCACTTACCTACAAGACCCTCACCAGATGTGTTTTCTGGTCTTTGGATTTCCCAACCTACAAAAATGTAAGAAATAAATTTTATTTCTTTATAAATTACCCAGTTTCAGGTATTGTTATAAGCAACAGAAACAGACGAATACACTTGGTAAAATCCAATTCTCTGTCTTCCTTACATGCACCCAACACACCCAACACCCCATGCTGATTGGTCTCATGACAGTAAATGACCTCAAATGGCCCTTGCGGCAACTTGGCAGTGCTGCCATATTCCTCCAAATCAATTCATTCTCCATCCCCCTAGACACTAATTTCAGACCTTTCCCTCATCAAACCTCCAAACCCTGTTTCCCCTTCTTCAGCCTCATCTGATGATGTTGTTTCTTATTTAGACAATGGAAACGATCAGTAGAGATCTTGCAGGTGCTCTCCCCACAATGTCTGTCCATATACTGTGCCTTCCACTTGTTCCAGTGGATGGACCGTCCATGCCATTCCCTCTACTTGTGCATTAGATCCCACCTCCTCTCACTCAAGGACAACACTCCTATATCATCCGTTTTTCCCTTTACTGGATCATTCCCATCAATGTTCAACATGCTCTAACATCACTCATCTTAAACAAAACAACTTCTCTTGACCCCATATCCACTTTCATTTACTACTCCCAGTTTTCTGCTCCCTTTTATAATGAAACTCTTTGCAAAAGGTGTGAGGCATTCTGTCTTCACTTTCTCTCCTCTCATTTTCTTTTTTAAAAAATTTTTGGCTTTATATATTTATTTTTATTATTCCTATATTTATCATTACACAATGCAATCATTTTTGTGGCCCTTGACCTACTTGAGTATGTACAATTCTTTTTTTTAAATTTTAATTTATCAATATACAATGTAGTAGATTTTTGTGTCCCTTTATCAATTTCTCCTTTTCCCCCTCATTCTCTTCCCCTCCCCCCAATCAACATCATGAGTTATGGACAATTCTGAGTATGCTACCAGTTCATGGCTTCTCCCACTGATCTCTGAAATACCCAATGAAAACAAACCAAGGCTGAGAACTGCTTCTCTACAGAATAAAATTGAGTAAAACTGCTAAAGTTTGCTATATATCATACAAACATTCTACCTTAAGTTTACAACTATTTTTTTTTTTTTTTTTGTCTTTTGTCTTTTTTCCGTGTCCGGCAACGGATCGCAACCCTCAGTGTTGCCCCCGCACCGGACCGGGGACCGGCAACGGGATCGCAAGCCTCGGCGTTGCTCCCGCGCCTCGCTCAGCCAGTGAGCGGGAGCCGGTCTGTATGTGGGATCCGAACCCTCGGACGGGAGCGCCGCCGCGCTTCCCAAGCGGCGCACTATCCAGTGCGCCACCGGGCCGGCCCCAACAACTATTAATCTTTCAAAAGTCAGCCCACTTGGGCTGGCCCGGTGGTGCACTGGAGAGTGCGCCGCTTGGGAGTGTGGTGTGCTTCCGCCTAGGGTTCGGATCCCATGTGGAGACCGGTTCCCGCTCACTGGCTGAGCGCGGTGCAGGCACAACACCGAGGGTTGCGATCCCATTGCCGGTCAGTAAAAAAGACAAAAAGGAAAAAAAAAAAGTCAGCCCACCATAAATATTGCATAGAGAAAAATCTTAATTATATACGTCTAAATATGATATTAAAGCCAGAAAGAATATAAACAAGTGGGGGGAAGGCACGAAAAATCGTAGTGACATTTGGAAAAGATTAAAACTAAAACATCCTGCATTCAGCAAAATTTTTGAGTATAAACTACATCCAAAGCTGTATGCAAGAAGTTTTTATTAGCTTAGTGGAAAGATGATGATGTAAGATTTGAGACACATTTTAGACCTAGACTTAATAGGAATTGGTGACTAATTTGCTTTTTTCGTTTTTTGTTTTCTGTTTGTTTTTTATTGAATCATAATTGATTATAAATATTTTGGGGATTCAATGTTGACATATGTTGATCATGTCAATATTACTAGTATGTATATTGTTACAAATCATACTTATTCTTTATACCCCTTGTCCAATCTCTCCCTATCCACCTCTCCCTCCCCACTTCCACCACTGATAACCCTAGATTTCTTCTCTTCCTCTGTAAGAGTAATGGTTACTCTGTTGATTTGTTGCCTAAATGATCTGCCCAATGCTGAGAGGTGTGATCAGATTCCCCAATATTATCATAGAGCAGATGCTTCTGTCACTCTGGAATGGGCTTTGTGGAGAGAGACATCCTATTTTTTTCTTTGGTCTCTGCTGGTGACTCTCCTCATGTCAATGCACTCCAGTGGCTGGTGGACCATCTGTGTGGTGGTTGTGATGTCTAGCCACTGTTGTGGCAGCCATGGTTATTGCGGTGGCTGTGGTGGGACACCCACATGGAGGTAATGTTTTTGGCATGCTCCTTGGTGCTGGTGGTGTGCCTAGTTGTGGGGGGAATCTAGTCCCTGGCTCGATGCCTGGGGCCCTCATTTTCTTTTTTAATCCACTCCAGTCAGGCTTTTGACTCCATCAATACCCAGAAATTGCTCTTGCCAAGATCGTAAGTAACCATCATATTGCCCGATCCAGGGGTTATTTCTCTATCTTATCCCTATTGCACCTCAGCTGCATTTGACACAATCACTCCCTTCCCCTTGAAATGGCTCTTTATTTGGCCTCAGGGGTACCGTGCTCTTAGTTCTCATGCTATCTCATTGGCTGCTCTTCTTAATCTCTTTTGCAGCTTCTTCCGCATCTTCTCGACATCTAAATATTAGTTGCTCAAGGCTTAGTCTCTTTTATAGATCCAGTTATACTCTAGGGCATCCCATCCAGTCCCAAAGCTTAAGTACCGGCCTAAAATTATGACTTCCATATTTATATATTCAGTTCCAAACTATCTCCTGAACTCCAGACTAGTCTACCAATTACCTATTCAAAATCTCTACTTGGGTATCTAATAACCATCTCATGCTACTCTGTCCAAAAATGAATTCTTTCTTCTTTTTTTCCAAAAATGAATTCTTGATGTTCCCTAAGCCTCCTCATTCTCAGTATTTCTCCCTCCATATGGCAATTCCATTCTACTAATTGCTCAGGCAAACTCCCTGAAATCATCCTTTATTCTTCTATTCTTCCCAAATGCTCAATCAGTGAATGCTATAGGCTCTGTCTTTTCAATATATCCAGTATCTGACCACTACTCCACTGCCACCATGCTGGCCCCATATTATCATCTCCTGGCCAGACTATTGCAATAGTCTCCTAACTGCCCTCCTCTACAGACTCTTCATACAGCATCTAGAGTAAAACTTTTATACATGTAACCTCACTAGCAGACTCAGAGTTTCTCAGCTACCTTTCTTAGATGTGTTTTAGATGGCACACTCAATACACCTACAATCTACTTAGCTTATAGTTAGGACCCTATCTCTTGTATTCTGTTAAAACAAATGTACTTTGAGTTAAAAATAGTAAACTCTCTTTTGTTTAAGTGGCAGGTGGTTGATATTGATGCTTTAACAGATAAGTCTACCTATAGAGTCTGGAGGGGAAGAAATAAGTAGACCATGGAGCCTAGAATGGAAAAACCATTCAGGAGCAGCCACATAGGACAGAGGGCCCTCTAGAGAAGCTACCAAAGGATACAAATCTATCCTAAGGTTTTCAGAAAACACCCAAATGGGAAAGCTGCTGTACAAAGTCAATGTAGCCCCATTATATAACTCTGTTCTACTTTTGTCTTAGCATTGATCACTACTTTATTTTTATTTGTTTATTGCCTGTCTCCTCCTTTTAAAATATAAACTCCAGGAGATTAGTGCCCTCTATCTCCAGTGCCATAATTAGTGCTTGGCACATAGTACCTGGCTCAATCAGTATTTACAGAATGACTCGACACAAAATTAGCTTCATGAAATCATACTTTGAGTTTTTAGGAAAAAATTAACGTGAAGTCATCCCTTTTGTAGCCTACAACAAATTTCTCTCTTTTATTTTAGGGGGAGGTGTGTATATGGGGGGGTGCAACTTTAATATGAGTTTACTGAAGAGGGAGGCAATCCTATTAACCTAATGGGAATAGTATTCTGACGACAATACCCAGAGAATTAACGTAGTTCCTGTTTCAGTTTTGACAATTACCATTCCAAGTCGGAGTATCTTCACTGTTGTGGCGACAAATATAGTCCCTATTTACAGGGTCGTTGTGTGAGTTAAATGAGAAAATATATGTAAATCTCTTAGGCAGCACCTAGAACTACATCAACAAATGCAGCTATTTTGTTGTTATTATCCTAACGTTTATATTAATGGTATAGTACACCATAAATCCACTCGAAGCTGATGTTGAGTCATGGTAATTCCTAACAACACATTGCTTCAATCTGCTCCCCACAATTCACTTGAGATTCACTGAGGCAATGACGTCTTTCGTGATTTTAATTTATTACCATTAAGAGTCTCCTAACTTTGACTTATAGGTAATAGGGAATCAGTAAGGGGATTTCAGGGTCTAAACCAATTTATCACTAGCGTTAACTGAACTGAGCACGCTATCCTTTACAATCTTACTATGACTCGCTGGAGGACATGATCGAAGTCTTACTGAATTCTCTATCCCCTAGAGTCCATATTGTAAGACCGGCCCAAAAGCACGAATCTTAACTTGATGGGAAGGCTCATCTCGCAAAGACCAGGAGGCACAGAGATCGATGCACAGGCAAGAGGTTTTTATTTCCGGCATGCTGGAGGTCACCCCGTTTTCAGGACAGGAGCAGCCCCGAATTCACAATGCAAGCAGCTTTTATACAGTTTTTTTTGGAACAGATATTGTGATAGGATCAACTGTTGGTTATCTGTGGTGCTTTTAGATTTACAGGTGGGCTTCAGCTGGCGTTTTTGGGTTTACAGGTGGGTTTTAGCAGGCCGGCACCCCTTTAGCGCATTTCTCAATTGTTTACCTTCCCCGGGGTCTGGCTTGGTGGCCTTTGAACCAGTTATTTCCTGAAACCGGTGGGGGCTATTAATGTTTAGTGTGCTCGGGCCTGACCT